TGAAACGTCTGGTGAACCATAACTTTTCACACAAGGTGAACTTAATGATTTGGTGAGAGATTTGGGCTTTCCAAAGTATTCTTCAGAAATTTTGGGGTCCAGTCTTCGGGATAATAACTTGCTTTCTCCAGGGACATCATTTTACTGGTACAAAAATCATGAGAAACAGTTTATACCATATTTTTCACAAGAAGGTTCACTGGTTTATAGCAAAAATATTTTTGAATTAATACCAATGCTAGGAGTTGCAGCCTATGAACCAAGTGTGTGGCAATTGTTCATTGATTCCTCCAAAAGAAGTTTAAAAGGTGTTCTTCTTCTTAATGGTAACATATATGTATCTGTTCCTATTACTCATTCAGTTCACTTGAAGGAAACACACAAAAATCTTAAACTTCTTAATAAGGTCAAATACAAAGAACATGGTTGGTTACTTTGTATAGACTTAAAAGTCCTTTGTATGTTGTTGGGTCAACAATCTGGTTATACAAAGTTTCCATGTTTTTTGTGTGAATTGGATAGCAGAGCACAAAATTAGCACTGGATAAAGAAGCAAAGGCTATGCAGAGTCAGCCCAATACCAGGATCGAAAAACACTGAACGTGAAAGTTTGGTTGACACAAAGAAAGTCCTATTACCTCCACTTCATTTATGTGAAGTGGACTTGATGAAGCAGTTTGTAAAGGCCATAGACAAATGATGGCGACTATTTCAAGTATCTATGTGAATAATCCCCAGCTCTTTCAGAAGCAAAAATTGAAGAGGGGATTTTTGTTGGGCCTCAGATTAAGAAATTGTCTTCGGACGAACAGTTCAAAAGGACAATGAGGAAAGTTGAAAAATAAGCACGGATTACCTTTAAAGATGATATTGAAAAATTTTTAGGAAACAACAATGACCCAAATTACACAAATACTGTCAATAACTTATTTAATAAATTTAAAGAGTTGGGTTGTAATATGAGCTTGAAAGTTCATTTCTTACACTCGCATATTAACTATTCCTCTGAAAAATCTCAGTGCTGTCAGCGAATAACAAGGGGAAAGGTTTCATCAAGACATCAGGGAAATCGAGAGGAGGTGTCAGGGAAGGTGGAACATCAGTAT